AAAGAAAAGAAATGTACTGAAAAAGGAAGAAAAAAATAAAAATGTGGAAGGAAAAAATACGAGTTTAGTATTTAAATTATTAATTTTGATTTGTTTTAGTATTTAAATTTTTTATTTTATTAAAATATATTTAAAATATTTTTTATTTTATTTTAGTATCCATAGTTAAAAAATTTAGTTTTGTTTTATTTTAGTACTCTTTTAAAATTTAACGTTAAGTTTTAAAAAATTGAAAGTTTAAGTAAAAACGAATCAAACATGATAGTTTAGGTATTCCGCACATTAATTTTTAACGGAATAATATTAAAATAAAATGAAAACTAAACTTTATGTATAATTTAAAAACTTAAAAAATTTAAATATTAAAATAAATTAAAACTAATAATTTAAATATTAAAGATGTACTTTAATCTTTACTTTACATAAGTAATCGACATTTTCACCGTCAAAACGGTGTCACTGAAATGATAGTTTAGTAATAAAGATAAATTTTATCTTCCTTTTACATGCGTTACTTATAATTTATAACGACATATTTAGATTTTTTTATTAATGTGTGATTATAAAATAATAAATGTTTAAAAGAATTTTAATTATATGATATTAAATGTTTAATTTTTTTAAAATATATTATATTTGAATCTAAAATTTTAAAGATAATAATAATCTTTTCAACTATTAAAATAGCTTGCTTCATACAAATTAAATTAAATTTTTAACTCCATTTTCAACTTTAGACATAGAGTTAGCTAGTTAACTGTTCTAATACTCGAAGCTCATCTGTCTCGAATTTTCTTTATTTATAAGAAATGCGATTTTATTTTTTAGAATTTTAAGTTATTCGAGTTGACGAGTTTTATTTTACAAGTTGGAGTTGACTTAAAAATTTTCGAGTCGAGTTGAATGTTCAAGTTTGCTTTTAAATTTAATTATAAATATTTATAATATTATGATATTATTTTATTTCAATTTAAATGGTTTTTTATGATCATACAGTACATATATAACAATCCATTCATGTGTGATGTTTTGAAAAAAATACAATATATATATATATATATTTCTTTCATATGAGATACATATATACATAATTGAGGAACTCGACTCAAACTTGAAAATTCATCAACTAATTACTATTTTGAGTTATTCGAGTTGTATTTTATAACTCGATTTGAACTTAAAATTTTTCGAGTTGTGTCGAGTTTATGAAATTACAACGAAATTATTTCGGGTTGAGTTTTTTTAAATCGAGTCGAGTCGAAAAAATCAATTTTTTTAGTCGAGACAAGTTTTTCCCACCCCTATTATTATTAGTTTTGAAAGAACGTAGTTAGTATTAATTATGATAAATAATAATAATAATATAAATACAGCTGTAAATAAATTTGATGTGTAAAATAATGAATTAGAATTTAAATTTATAAGATTGAAGTAGAGATAAATTAATAAATAATTCAAATATGTTTATCATAAAAAATTAATTTCCCTACAAAATATTTAATATAGAAATAAAATCTTATTTAAAATATTATAATATTTTTTCTATTTCTATATTTAGATTACCCAACATCAATGATATTTGATTACAGACAACTTGTCTTGTGTGCACTCTGCAATGTGATCAAAGTTTTAATTGATATATATAAGATTTGTTTTCTTTTTTTAATTGATATATTTTAATTTTTCAAATTTTCTTTACTTATATGGAACACCGTTTCATTACTTAATCAGCCCTAAATGTCTCTCAAAAATATATTCAACAATATACGATACCGGCATATATGTATATATAAGATACTAAGCTGTATGTGCATAGTCAACAATGGCCAGTTACAGGTTCCATCTGTTTCTAAACATTTCCCTCGTCCTCGTACTAATTCAAGAGTCAATCTTCCATAGCCGCTAATGATGATAGAAAGGCAAGTTCTTTCTTTGCAACATAACAACGGTTGCATTTACATGCAATGAACACGGTGACCCTTTGATTCGAAAGCAAATCCAGGTCCTGATCATATATTGGTTCAATCCTACATAAACTACCTTATTTTAGACCTAAAACAGCACCTACTCTGCTTTTTAAATAACATGTAATTTGCGTGTGATATATGTGATCGGAACCCCACTTCACATTATATCTCAGAATCCCCCAATTAGTCGAAAAGCAGGTGGAGATTTGGATAAGAAATCTTTATTCCTGATGGAAAATCTGAACCCTTTTCTTAATTCTCCTCATTGAACCCATTTAGTGACAGACAGCTCAAAGGGGAAGCAGACGAGGCAAAGGGCATTTGGTGACGGCTTTTAGTGATCTTCATGACAAAATACAAACTATATGATTAGTCGGGTAGTTTCGAGTACCACTTTAGTATCAACTTTGGTGATTAAAAGAGAATAATTAAAGGCCAACTATTAAGGGCACAATGAAAGAGAGAGGTCGAGTGGGGGGAAATTATACAACCTTATCTAGTTATCTTATTGCCATGTGGGTCAAAATAATACATATTTCTTTCAACTTAAGAAGCCAAATCAAAGAATTTATTCTCTGAATTCGAGTTTAACACTTTTAATTCACATAATAACTCTAAAAAATGATATGATATCTATTAAGAAATAAATTCGAATTTTAATATCTACCAAATTTTCCTCAATCTCCGGCATATACCTCCTTTGTGAAAAGGAAAAGACATGAAGGGGCATTATTCACAAGAAAAAAGGAAGGGTCAAGAAAGATGATTAAATTGGGTTTGTTTTTGACCCTACAGGGCTAAAGAGGCTACATTTATCCAGTAGAGTACATATGGCAGTAAATGGTGCGCCAGTTGGGATACCAAAGTTATAGTTGGGAAAAAAGTAAGATTGATATTATAGGCGGAGAACCAATTTTGCATTAGAGGAAGCTTCCCGCGGGGGTATTTCCTTCACATCTTTTGATTTTAAAAGAAAAAAGGAAAGAAAATTTTGCCATAAAGTATAGCCATAGAACACCTTTTTGGGTTTGATGATGATAGGCACATGGGGTAGACTGCAAATGTCAATTAATTTATATGTTAAGTGTTTTATTTTGTTATTATTTTATTATTATTATTATGTGTTATCTCCTTGATATTGATGATTTGATTTGTTTATGTTAAATTCGATTCTATTTTTTTTAGAAAATAACGTTAAAGGGTGAATTCTGAATTTTTTTTTTATTTTTTAGAATTAAGATTGGACACATGAGCATGACTTTGGATATGATAATGTCGATGTGGTAGAATTTGCAATCTAGACAATGATAATTTCTAGAAGACAACTCAATCAACAAAATCAAGAAGGAAGAAATAGCGGACGAAAACTCTTCGGATTAAGAATTGTAATTAAATTTAAATGTTTGGAATTATTATTTCATTAGAAATACTTAAAATGTTATTAGGATTTTAAGTGTTTTATTTTCTTTATGTTTTATTTTCTTTACGTTATCTCAAGTTATAAAAATACTGCTTTTAATTTTTTTATTTGAGATTTTTAGTTCTATAAATATTATTTTCTTCTTCATCTTTTTTACTCTCTTTTTACAATATGATTTCTATCATGCTTATTAATTTTCAATTAGCCGATAGTTAAGTGACAACTCAATTTGTTTCGTGATAATTGAAGAGCATTCATACCTTCAGATATCTTTTTTTATTTTTTGTAAACTTGGATTGGCAATCCGCCTCTCCTTTAAACATTTCAACACTTTCAATTTAAAGGGCGTGCATTGACTTGATCGATGTTCTGATTTACCGTTGAGAAAATGAGTCGGCTTGTAGCAAATTCAACTTCCTAATAACACACTTAACGGCAATTCGTTAAGGAAAATCAAGATCAAGTTCGACTCCCATTAGACACCATATTCCGAGCACAAGCTTTTTCAGCACTCAAAGTTGCATTAACGTTAACATCGATAGTCGTTGTTTCAAAGGATTGACTTTGGAAAATTAGTTCACCAGATAGAAAAGTAAGTTACAAGGGTTGATTTGTAGACTATAACCGACAGGAATCCCAAAATACAAAAAAGGAACCGAGATATATTGAGGTGAAACAAAGCTGGAGGTTAAAATTTCTAAGTACTGTGGATCGACCTTTTCTACTCTATGCTGGTTTAACTTATTTAAAAAAATATTATTTAACAATGATGAAGTTTGTCTATATATATATATTTGATAGAATTTGAGAGAGGTACATCCCTCCCATATACTGTGATCTTCACGTGCACTGCTGGATTTTCCATGTTTTTCTCTGCAAATCTTATCTATTTTACTTTCAACTGGGGCAGTCTTTTCTTGCAAGGTGCTGCTACACTGAATTTGATTAGTTTCCTCTACCTTTATTTGACTTGGGAATTCAGGGCTCAAAGAAGACAAAAGCAATGGAGACTAAGAGACCAGTTGGTTCTTCTTCCTCCTTCGCTGCTGATCTTTTTGGCTCGAAAGACTCATCATCATCCCCATCAAAAGGGATTTTCAGCTCCATTTTTGCACTTCCATCTTCGGTATATACGTACTGTTCTATATTCAGTGATTGCATTTGTTATGTTTTTGTTTTTATTTTTCTGTTCGTTTCTGGGCTCTCTTTGACTTTGTATATGTGTGATTATAAAACATCTAAATATTTTCTATTTTGCATAAGAAAGTATTCCTAGTCTAATCGGAAGCTTTCTATGTCTTAAATTTCAGGTTGGGGGGAGGAACTCCTCAGGCTCTAAGGTGTTAGAATCTTGGCCAAAACAGCCTATGCAAGGTTATTGTCCCCACCATATATATATATGTAACACTTCTTTTGTGTAAACCCAGAGTTTTTTCTGTATTCATCGTCAGCAGAACTATTACCATTTAAAACTCTTCCATATGTTTACTGCCCCTCTTGAGCCATTGTTTCACATACCGATGAATAATGGGATCTGCTTATCTAGTGTTTTACTGGTGCCTAGAGCACTGATCTCCATCTCCTGATAACATTGTCTTATCATTATTATTATGCAGATCAACTACCTAACAAGGAAGAAAGGGTGGAACCATGCCATTTTAGTTCATCTCTTTACTATGGTGGCCGAGACTCATATTCCCATTCCTCGAGTGGCCAAACTTCAACACCATATCCAATTGTGAGTCTTGACATATCAAATTCCGATGTAAAAACTAGTTTTGTGATACATGTGTGTATGAAAGTACTTATAGTTCCATATTTTGTGAATGAATCTAGTTTAAGAAAGATGGGGGAGAAGATGACCCTAATGGAAACAATTCAATGGATGCTTCCAGAGGGAATTGGTGGCAAGGTACTCATATTGATCTACTTGAAAGCTTCAAATTGATAATCAATTGAAATACGGATTTAGAATTAATACCAACATCTAAAACACTTTACTTTGGATTTCTGCAGGTTCGCTTTATTATTAGAGCCCAACTTTCCTATGCATCTGAATCCTCCAAGTAATCATATGGAAGAACATGAAGCATGAATAAGTTTCTGCCACTTGAGATTTACAAATCCTTTCAGTAATATCTTTTTTTTTTCTTCATGATTTTAATCTGGGAATGAAGCTTGAGAAGTTCTTCATTACATCGTACTTCTTCATCACAAAAAAACAGGCCAAAAACACACGAAGTGTTTAACCCCCATTCAACGCTACACTCCCTGCTTAAATGCCTTCCCTTGCAAGCTGCCCAGCTTCCAACGAACAACATCCTTCAGGCAGGCCACCAGATCAACCTCAAGCCTTTGTACACCCCAAAAAAATCGTCTGTTCCTTTCCTTACAAATCAAGGCAATACAATCATTTCATGCCAAACGAAACACCGTCGAAAGCAAAGACTTGCCCTTAACATTCATGCAAGCCCGGCTAAGTTCTTGATCTAAACGCAAAATCGGTCTAGACAAACCACAAGCACAATAAAAAGGGTAAATTACGCAGTTAGTACTTAAACTGTTAATTTTGTTCCATTTTAGTACCTAAACTTTTGTTTTTTTTCAAAAACATGCTTAACGTTTAGTTTTCGTTTCATTTTAAAACGCATGATTAAAAACTTAATGAATGAGCTGATGGGGCATAGTTCCGATGGACGAACGACCAATCCGGATGGTAAACCACTAGAGAATGACGATTCGACCAGCATAGTCCAGTTTCAGGTCTATCGACGATTGAAAAATGTGCCTTGTATTCGACTTTGAAGTTTTGAACAACACAATCAAACAAGGGGCTACAATCTCAAAATGAAGTCTCTTGGCAACAAGAGAAAGCCAAGGTACCTCATCGGTAAGATAAAATTTTGATTTTAATCTTAATTTGAAAAGTTAAAATTTATTATTCTAATCTTTATACTATGCCTAAAATATTTTAATTTTACTCTAAGATTATTTTTATTTATATAATTTAATTATATTAATCATCTATCATGAGTTAAAAATCAAATTTCAAATTTTAAAAATTTATCAATATCAAGTTAAAGTATAATAACGAATCTTCACTAAAATTTGACCTATTAATAATAACTCAACTAATTAATTGTCAGGGATTCAGGTTCAGGTATAATAAAAATATAAATAGATAACAAGTGTTGATAAGACTAGGTGCTAATTGAGTTGAAATTCACAAGTAATTTGAGTTCGAATTGATTAATGTTTGACTTGAACTCGCATACGATTTGAGACCTTAACGAGTCAAGCCGATCAAGGGTTAATTTGACTCAAAAAATTTGTAAGGAACTTGTTAATTTTTTAAAATAATTTTTAGTATGTTGATTGTCTTACTTTTAAGATTGATTATGTATTGTTGATCTTCTTTTATTTTCAAGAATTGTTGTAATATGTTAATTTGATATATCTATGAATTGTTACCTTGGAGTTAAGACTTTAGAATGCTACATATATTATTTTGATAATTTTTGTTAATAATTATATATATCTTTTTAGGACCATTGAATGGGAAAATCAATGGCTAAGATAATAATATGAAATAAAAAGATATTTAGTGAAAAAAATAAGGAATTAATCTCACTTTTGAATTTCCTTAATCTAATGGTACTAAAAAGTGTAAAACTCTTAGGTGTAAGTGGATATATATATATTATGCAGAGTTTAACTAACAACAGGACAAATCGAACAATAATTCCTTTTAACGAGTACAAATTGAACAAAATTTTATCGAATTTATCATATATTAAATATAAATCAAATAACTTTTTAATTAAATAAAATACTGCTCAACTCGAGATTAACTTGATGGATGAGCCTACAATGCATGTCACAAACAACAACGCACCACTAAAGCGACGCACCGAAACACACAACTAATTAAATTGTCCTTATTAAGTAAATATTAAAAGGGTAAATTATACGTTTTGTACTTACACTATCATTTTTATTTTGTTTTAGTACCTAAACTTTTATTTTTTTCAAAACCATTAATGATAATGTTGATGTGGCATGACATGCCAAATTTTTATTTTTAATTTCCACATCACTTTTTTATTTCTCTGTAGATATTTTTTAATTAATTTTATTCAACCAATTAAATTGTGACATGTGTCACCAACTATGAAGATAAAATAAAAGAAAACATTCTTGCTCTTAGCAAGAATTGAACCTATACCTCTTACATGAAATGCAAAACACTTAAACATTTAGTTAAACTAGTAATTTAAGTTAATTTACCACATTTCATATTTAATATAACACTATAATCACAAAATCAATATTTTCTGATGATTATAGAATTTGAATATGTGACACTTTAAATTAATGATCAAAAATTTATTTATTCAACTATAATGTGAATCTATTTTTATTTGATCAAACTTAAAAAATATTTTTTTACTTTATTTGGAAATAAAAAATAATTAAATAATTATTTATATATATTTATAAAGTTTATATTAAATTATTCTAAAAAGTATATTTATAATATTATGAAAATAGTTTAAAACTATTGATTTAATTTTTAAAATCATATTATTTATTTATTTGGAAATAATATTTATTATTTATTTGAAATAAAATTAATTTTAAATTATCTATATAATTTTAAATAATATTATACGGAACCAAAGTGATAGTTGGATACTAAACGTATAATTTTTCCTAAATTTAAAATTATTTAAAACTAAATAGATAATTTAAAATAATATTATTTCAAATAAATAATTCATTTGATTTTAAAAATTAAATAAATATTTTTATAATATTATAAATATAATTTTTTTATTTCATATATTTTTTTTATAAAAATGTATAAATTATTTAATTATTTTTATTTCAAAATAAAGTGAAAAATTAGTCTTTTAATTTAACAATGATATGAGTAAGTATAAAGTTCAATATAATAAAAATAATTCACGCTATAGTTGAGTGACTAAGCTTTCGATGATTAATTTAAAGTGTCTCATATTTTAATCTTATAATCATCGAAAAATATTGATTTAGTAGTGATATCGTTATATAAGTTAAATACAAAATGTGATGAAATTTAACCAAATGACTATCTTAGCTTAATGGTTGAGTGATCTATTTCTCACGTAAAAGACTTAAGTTCAATTCATAGTATGATCAAAAATGGTTTATATCTTATTATCCCCATAAGTGGTGACAAATTGGTTGAATAAAATTAATTAAAACATGCCGACGAATAAAGAAAAAGATGATGATTTAGGTACAAAGCATGTAATTTACCATTTTAATATACTCTTTTTAATATTTACTTAATAAGTACAATTTAACTAGTGGTGTGTTGAGTATTAAAGATATTAGTTAGATGTTAGATGTTTGTTATTTTATATTACTAGTAGTTAGGAGTTTGTTAGGTGTTAGTTTGAATAACAACTTGTTATATAAACCTTATTTGTAAGGTTATCATTAACTCTAATGAAATAAGAGGCATTTTTTACACATTGTTAAACTTTACATTAGGTCTGTAAATGAATTGAACGTTCAGTGAATCGTTCATGAACCGTGCGGCGGAGAGTTCGTTTACGTTCGTTTATTTATTAAATGAACGAACATGAACAAGATTTTGCGTTCGTTTAATTAAATGAACGAACACGAACAAAGGGCTCGTTCGTTCATTTACGTTCTTGATCGTTCAATTATATGTTCGTTTATGTTCTAACAGAGGGCAAGTTGAATATGTTACGAAGATTATTGAAGTTGTTTGGATTTCAAGAAGATTGTTTTGTTAAACAAATTAACTTTAAGACTTTATTATGATCATATAGCTTATTTATGATTTATGGTTGTTTTTATCGTATTCGAACAAATTAACTCTAAAGTTGCAGGTTATATTAAAAAATTTTAAGTTGTTATTCTTATTGTTTACTTTCTTTTTACATTCATTTGTTGTGTTTGAATAAGTTTGTTTTTTGTGTTTGTGTTGTTTGTTTATGTTCATTTATTATGTTCGTTTATGTTCGTTCGTTTGTGTTCATTTACGTTCGTTTATCATTTAAATGAACGAACATGAACAAGCTATATTCCTTAATGAACGAACATGAACAAAAAAAATTTTGTTCGTTTATTTATTAAATGAACGAACATGAATATACCTCCGTTCGTGTGCATTCGATTCGTTTACAGGCCTACTTTACATGGTATAATCACTAAACCCGATCCATTGGGCTGTTTTTCATTTCTTGGCCTGCTAAAGTTTTCTCTCCTTCTTCCAATTAGATTTTTTTCTCTCTTTCAATTCTATGCTCCAATGACGACCACCGTTAACTTTAACCATGTTCTTTATCTACATCCGTCGAACACGCCTGGTTCGCTGATTGTTTCTCTTTAGTTGACTGGCATTAACACGTATACCATTTGGAATCGTTCTTTGCGTCTTGCACTCCTTGCCAAGAACAGACTAGGTTTTGTTGATGGCAATTGTAAGCGTGAGGTTTTTGAGGAATCTCTTCATCCACAATGGGATAGATGTAATGCAATTATTTTATAATGGATTCTAAATTCGGTCAGCAAGGAGTTGTCCGTTGGAGTATGTTGAACCATGTTTTATAATATTTGATATAACAAATTAAGGAAAAATATTTTTGGACTTGATTGAATTTGTTAAAAGTTTTCAAAAATAATTCAAAGTCCATTAAACTAGAATTTAAGTACAAAACAGTTTTCTGGGTACATAGTATCAATATTGTTCTTACAGTATCGATATTACATGAACAATATCGATACTGTTCATGTGGTACCGATACCAAAGGTAAGAGAAGTATCGATACTCTCTAGGTAGTATCGATACTATCAGTTGTTTTCCAAATTGTTCAAATTCCAGAATGCAAAATAGGTACCGATACTCAAGGTACAAATACTACTTTACACAGGGGTATCGATACCATGAAGCATAGTGTCGATACTGGTCAAGCCCAACGGTCTTCAACGGCTAGTTTATTTAAATATTATAAAGGTAGTACCGATACTCATGAAAGGAGTATTGATACTCCATGTTCTGGGTAGTTTTATTTTGCAGAAAATTAATCTCCAACAGCTCCAAAACATCCCTAACGGTTAGAAACTGCCACAAACTCATTTCATTCTTTATCTTTCCTTTTTTTCTTGTACGTAAGTGTATTTGAGATCATTGCAAATCTTTTAATTATTTTCTTGTGAGCTTAAATCTTGTAAACACCCTACCTTTGAGAGGTTTTCTTGTTTACTTCTTTTAACCTTGTAAAAAAAGGAGTGATTTTAGTTTAGCCATTGAAAAATTAAGGGTTTTTGTAAAGATTACTCTTGAGCATAGAAAAAGAAAGAACAAATTAGTGAATTTGTTATAAAATCCTTAGTGTGGTGTTAAGGTAGTGGATGTAGACTTGTTTAGAAGTCTAGAAAAAGAAAAACCAAATTAGTGAATTTATTATAAAATCCTTAGTGTGGTGCTAAGGTAGTGGATGTAGACTTGTTTAGAAGTCGAACCACTATAAATCTTTATACAAATTTTCCTATCATTTCTCCTCCATATATCAAAATTTTCAATTGTCAAATATTCGGTTGTTCAATTGAGCTTCATCGAATTCCAACAAAATAGTGTTTGCTTCGCGTACTGAGCTTATGTGATATTTATGAGAGGTTCGATAAGATCGATGGTTCAAGAATCTTCTTTCTTCATAAAGAGATTGCTATGACTCTTCAAGGTGATCTCATTGTTTCTGCATATTTCACTCGTTCAAAATTATTTTGGGATGAGATTGAGGAATTGGTCCCGTTCTATTCTTGTCAATGTTATGTTTCTTTTGAAAATTTTAAGATTCACCTCCAAAAAAAAGTTGTTTCAGTTTTTAATGGGGTTAAATCAGACCTTCTCTGTGATTCGAAGTCAGATCTTATTGATGAGACCACTTCCTTCCGTAAATCAAGCTTACTTTATGATTCTTCAAGAGGAATCACAAAGAGTTCATATTAGTGTCATATCCCCATCTCTTATTCTACAATGTTGTATGCTTATGGAGGTTTATCTTTTCGACGTCGTTTTTCGGGCACTTGTGATTACTGTAAGATCAAATGACACAAAAAGGAGCAGTACTCTTACAGGCTGATTGATTTTCCCTCAGGCTATAAGTTTAAAAAAAGATGTCAAGGTTGCTATGGTCTCTAAATCTATTGGTTTTGTTTCTCAATCCACTAAGATTCATCTTACTCCTGTGTTTACGCAATCTCAATATCAGTAGATCTTGGAATTACTCCGCAAGGCTCCTCTTGCATCTGTTGGTTCATCTGTAAATTTAGCAGGTGACATTTCTTGTTTATCAGTTAGAAAATTTCTTGCTTGAATTTTAGATACAGGAGCTATTGATCACATGTTCTGATTTCTCAATATCAGTAGATCTTGGAATTATTCCACAAGGCTCCTCTTGCTCGTCCACATCTAGGCTAGTTTACCTTCCTAATGGAAAGCATGATCCGTTAACACATGTTAGTTCTGTTTGTCTTTTTTCAAATTGTGTGTTATATTTTCTAGAATTTAAACACAACCTTCTTTGAATTTCTAAAATGACCAAAGATCTTCATTGTATTGTCATGTTTTACCCTGATTTTTGCTTACTTCAGGATATCTCCAGTGGCAAGATGATGGGATTGGTAAGCTTTGTGATGGCCTTTATATCTTTATTTTACTAACTAATGTTCCTGGTCTGTCTACAGTAGTGTCTTCTGTTGCTGAAAATGATTTTTTGATTTCTTGTATTGTCAATTCTGTTACTTCACTTTCATCATATATCTCTTCTATACCTAATAAAACTGCTCTTTGGCATGCCCGTTTGGGCTATGCCACTTATAATAAGCTTCATAAACTTTCTTTTCCACATGATCTAAGTCCTGACACTATTCATAACTGTGCAATTTGCCATCTATCATAATAATCTAAGATCTTTTTCCTATTAGTTATTCCAGATCATCTACTCCTTCTCAGCTCCTACAGTTTGACTTATGAGGCTAAAATTTGTCACCATTTTATTCATCAAAAGGGCACTGTTAAATAACCATTTTTCTTACATAAATAACCATTTTTATGCAACTGTTAAGATTTTTAGATATGATAATGGCACTGAGTTTTTTAATTGTATTTGTTCTGAGTTCTTTACTTCTCTTGGTATTCTACATTAAAGTAGTTGCGCTTCTACCCCACAGCAAAATGGTATGGTTAAACAAGCATAGGCACTTGTTGGATGTAGTTAGAGCTTTGAAGTTTCAAAAAAAAATTCTTATCAAATTCTGGGTCATTGCGTAAGACTGCAGTTTCTTGATTGATAGGCTTCATCATCTGTGCTAGACTAGAAAACTCCATTTGAATTGTTATATAATAAACCTCCAAACGTTTCTCACCTTAGAGTCTTTGGTTGTTTAGGTTATGCAAAAAACCCTTCAATAAAGGACAAATTTTCTCCAAAGATCATTCCTTCTATTTTCTTAGGGTACACTGAGGTTAAAAAAAGTTATATTTATTCAATATTGATACCAAATCCATCTTTATATAGGGATGTAGTGTCCATGAAATTGTGTTTCCTTTTCAGTTCTTAATTCTCTTGTTTTTTCCACCTAATACATCTTCTTAGATACCGATTTCTGGTTCTTAACTCATTGCCCAACTCTTTTGTTACTCTTTGTCTTCATCCTCTAATATTGATATACATGTTTTTGATCAGTCTTCTCCTTGTCCATCACTCTTAATAGATCTTTCTGTAGTTAATCCTTTACATAGTTCTGTTCCCATACAACCTGAAATTTCTCTACTGTACTACATGTCATTCCTGACCTTTACCACCTAATCCTCTCGAAAATCTACTAAACAACTAAACTCCAGCCTGGTTAAACGATTTTGGTTTCTGTTTGCTAATCTTCTCATCTTGATGGTCAGTATCTCATTTCTCAAACATTTCTTATATCCATTCCTCTTTCTACTTAGTCTTTTGTCTGCTACTTCACTTTTGCTGAGCCTAAACTTACTCTCAAGCTATTAAAACCCTTTGTGGATTCAACGATGAAAGAGAAAATTCAAGCCTTGGAAACCAATAACACATGGTCTTTAGTTCTTTTGCCTAATGGTAAAAATCCCATTGGCTGCAAATGGATTTTTAGGGTCAAATATCAAGCTTCGGGTGTTATTGAAAGATACAAAACACGTTTGGTAGCCAAGGGTATACAAAATTGTTTTGGCTCTTGCTGCTACCCATGATTGGCCTCTTTACCAGAGGGGTGTCTACAATGCCTTCCTTCAGGGAGATTTATTTGAAGAAGTATATATGAAATTTCCACCTAGATTTTGTATCAAGGAGTCCAGTATTTGCAGGCTCCAAAAATCCATTTATAGCTTGAAGCAAGCTTCAAGGTTATGGAACATGAAGCTCACTGAGGCATTGTTGAAGGCTACAATCGAAGCAAATCAGATTATTCAAGTATTTACAAAGAAGCAAGGTGAAGACACTGTTATGATGTGAGTTATGTGGATGCTTTTCTCATTATTGAAAATAATCGTAAGTTGATTTTTGAGTTGAAGTTACTGTTAAACCAGAATTTTAGAATAAAGGATTTGGGGTATTTGATTTTTTTAGGCTTTGAGATTATGAGATCCAAAGAAGGGATTATATTGAACCAAAGGAAGTATGCATTGAAGTTAATTGAGGGCTCAAGCTTAAGTGGTGCTAGGCCAGTTTCTACTCATTCAGAGCAAAATGCTAGATTCACTTCTGCGGAGTTTGATAAGGTGATTAATGGATCAACAACAGCTTTTGAGGATTCTATTTTGGAGGACAAAGAAGTTTATCAAAGATTGATTGGTACTCATTTATTTGACTCACGCCATACCAGACATTACATTTGTTGTGCAATGTCTTGGTCGGTTCATGCATTAGCCCAAAAAGCCTCACTTGGATGCTTCCTTGAGGTTTGTAAGGTATGTGAAAAAGTGTCCATGCTAGGGTCTATTGTTCAAGGCTGTAAAAGGAGGATTTATTTCAGCCTATTGTGATTTTGATTAGGCTTCTTGTCCAGTTTCAAGACATTAGAAACCAAGCTCGATTGAAGGCAAACACTTGAACTTTGTTGAAACTAAAGGTAACCTTTTCAACCAGAATATGCTTTCATTGATGGCCGAAAAAAGACGACCTCCCTTCTCTCACCCACCCCAACTAATCACCTTCATTTTTATTTTGAATAATTGTTAAACCCTAAAGAAAATAAGATAAAAAGAGGAAAATTCTGCTTTTGTGTGCGGAAATCTCCTCTTTTTAACAAAGTCCAATTTGTCCGAATCTTTGTTTTGGATAACAAATGGAATAAAATGGTTCTGTTTATACTCCTGAATGTCAGGACAGAAGAAAAGTACCAATCATCATTCGTTAGTCTACCATATTAACCTTTCTTTTGTTTGTGGAAACAACAATCCCTCACTTGTAATTTATTTTAATTACTTACCATTTAATTATTAATAGAATAATTTTGATCATATTAAGATAATTCTTTTAAGGTTTAATATAAAAAAAATGACCAAACTATACTCAAAATTTACTTTTGGTTTCTAAATTTTTTTTATTAAAAATATGTGTCTAACATTTCTCAGTTACACTTTTAGGTATCCACCCATTTTTAACAAAAAAATATTAGACACTAATTTTTGACAAAAAAAAATCTTACCAATAGTGTAACTGAGAAATGTTAGACATATATTTTTAACAAAAATTCTATAGACACCAAAAATAAATTTTAAATATATTTTAGACACTTATTTTTGTATTAAACATTCTTTTAATCCTATCTTCTCTATTTATAATTTCAGAATAAGAAATTTAACATCTTAGTTTACTAGATACCAACAATCTCTTGATCTACCGAAATTGAGATAACATATTTCTTAAATAAGATTAAGGATTTGAATAAATAAGATTAAGGATTTTAATCTGACGTTGTAAATGAAATTATCTAAATTGATTAATTAATAAATTATTAATTATATTTTATTTTAATTTAATAAACTCAATTTAACCCAACTTGTTAATATTTTAAATTTTGAGCATTAATATGAATAAAAAATTAGAATTTTAAAAAAAGCTAAGGCCAGCTCCCTAATAAATGGCAGGTGAGGCGAATTTGCAGAAATTGACAAGTTTAAAGTCGTACCTGCAAGAACCAACAACATATAACACAAAATGGGGGGGGGGGGGAAACCATTATATGAGTCTTTCGTTGCACAATTTGTCTTGTTTTTTTATTATGTCTTTATCTTCAAAATGAAGCCTATAAGGAACCCAAGTTCCATATTTTCATTCCTTAATGCATCAGTTAAAAAGGTTCCCACAGGATCCTCTCCCCACATCCTCTCTTCATTTATTTATCTCCCTTTTCTTCTTTTCAGTGTTCATGTGTGATAGATCAGGTAATAATTGTATATTGTCGAACCAGCGACATCCATAATAGCAGATCATCATCCCTGATTTTTTATTTTTCAGTATCCACTTTAAAGTGAAAAGCTTTGTAGTTTCATTTAATGATGGCTGTTGACCTACACAACTGTGAGTTATTGCTTTCCTCGAAGCTTTACACTCCTCGAGAAGATCACTTTAGATCCGAGTTGAGTTCACCTATTGGGTCTGATCAGCTGAGTTCGAGCTCCACAGAGAGCAGCCAGGAGGAAGAAGAAGAAGACTATTACATTGGTGAGTTGACTCGACAGATGGCTCAGTACATGCTTCCTGACGAAGATAACGTTGGAAAGGTATTTCATCCTCTTGATCATGGTCTTAATACCAATGATTCGATTGGTTTTACCTTTAGAAACTGATCCCTCTTTCCCCCCCGCCTCTCCACTTTTTTCTGTTGGTTTTTAGGCATGGGATTTGTCTGGTTCACCAGAATCAACTTTGTGGTCACAGTTTGGCTCGAACCTTAATAATCCTGTTGGACCATCTAGGGAGCCATCTCCTCCATTGACACCCATGGTTGAGAATTTTGAAAAGATGAAGATAAATGAAGAAACAGCTAGATATAACCAAGGTGAGCGATTTTCAAGTACATCCAATTCAATCCAAGTTTCTGGAGGAAACCTGAATGCAAAGAAATCCCTTATCGATGATCAAATAAGAGCAATCCAAGTAAGAATGAATATCATTATTTGTTTTTTCTCCATTTAGAATTCATTTACAAATGAAACGGCTCTAATTTTCGTCGTATAACTCAGTTTTACAGGTTTAAACAAGAGCAAGCTATGAAGTTGCAAAAGCCGAGAACTAAGCATTACCATCAAGGCAAAGGAAGAGTTCTTGGTGGGTTCAAGTACAATGGCCATAAAGCTGCCCCTAACTCTAATAATCCCTGGTACAATCTGCCCCAGCGGCAACAACAACAACAGGGCAACCAACAAACCGGTTCACACATGAGGGCGGTTTTCCTCGATGCATCCGGTTCAAGAAATGGTTCTAGTGGAACCGGGGTTTTCTTGCCTCGTGGAATAGGAGGAAACCCTACCGAGTCACGCAAGAAACAAGGTTCCAAAAAAAAGTACCTTTCTCTAGGTTTTTTTTTTAATTATTTTTGACTTTTTGGTAATTAAAAGTTTACTTTTAGGATTTAGGCAAAGGTTTGGTTGGATTTGTTGGGGGGAGTGGTTAAGTGTTCAGTGAACTATCAACTATCCTGTTTTCCAAATTATGGTTTTCGAGAGATTTGACCAGGGATTCTGGTAAATGGTTTTTTTTTATTCCCTCCCATGTTCTCGGATTCCATTTCCTCAACGAATCTTTCCTCCATTGCTAGCGTCCAAGATTTGATTAATGTGAAGTGGAATCTTCCCTTGTCCCGGTCCCCCTAGTTTAGTCCATTTGCATGTTGCTCTCGATTCACAATATTAAAATTCGAATCCTTTTTCTTTAAGAAAAATCGAGACCCACGATGGTTTTGGGGTCAGATATTTTATACCAGGATTTTGATCAGGATGTGCCACAGTTCTGATTCCTGCAAGAGTAGTTCAGGCACTGAAGCTCCACTTTGAGAAAACAGGTGTTCCAACAAGGTCCAACAATAGTGGTTTCCCTCTCCAACACGGTAGCTAAACTGATCCAACACCAAGCAAATTTTATCATCTTCATTGCTTTTAGCATTTCGCAATCTAATTACCTTTTTTTGCTTATTGCATACAGACGCTTGTGAAAGTGGGAGGAATCATTCACTGCACAAGGGCCCGTCCAAGGCAGCGCTGGCTATCAACCTTCAAGAAATGAGTCTACCTCAAGAATGGACATATTAATGCAAACAACCACATGGGGTTGTTTGTTTTCCATCAATTCAAGCTTTTGATTGTATTTCAAGGCAGAATAAAACAGAAATAAAGACAGAGAGTGGTCAAAATTGTATGGAAATCTAGGGTTAAGTTTGATTTGTTTTGTTTCTTTCAGCCTTCAGCCCTTGTTTTAAAGGATTTAACTTAGATGGGAAAATCAAAATAAATCTGCTATGAAAATGATGGCTACAGTATCTGTGCCTTCCTCTGGCTGGCTTAAGTCTTTGTTAGCTTCTTTGAAGATGTATCTTGTAAAATACCCGTAATAAAAAGCAGCTATCCTTTGGGATTTTAAACCCATCCATATATTATTCGTTGCTAAATCTTATCAGGAACCATTCTAATGATAAAGGATAGGCATATAATTTTATCTTTTAAAATCTAGAAGAAATTTTTTTATAAAATTTTAAAGATAAAAATAAATTATTAATGAAAAGACATCTAAAATATATGACAATATAAAATTCTGGAAAAAGAAACAATTTGATAATTAAGTTATTGATATCTCTTGAAAGTTTTGATTTGCACATCTTAAGAATGTAAACAGAATCTCTAAAAATAAAGTAAAAGCTCTACTAGTCTACACGGAGCGTGGGGCAACAACTGCTATAGCCCAGACTCAAAAATTATTATTTTTGTCTTATACTCAAATTCTACGGAGAATACCCACTTGATCTTTTCGTGTAGAAAATTAATACTAATAGACAAACATAACTAGAGAAAAACTAATTCATTTGGGTGATAGGTCGAACCATTTACTACAGTCTACATAGGAACTGAAGGGGGCATTTGGCAAATTTATTATGACCCTTCAAAAATTTTATTTATCTCACTTATTTAGAAAAATATTTTCTTCTCTTCAAATTATTTAAATTTCATATTAATATACATACACCCTTATATATTTATAAATGAAATTAAATTTATATTGTAAAAATATAAAGTATATATATAATTTGGCTTCTCATATATAAAAATCATAAATATATAGATTTAAACTTATTAAAATATTAATGTTTTTACTTCTAATACCTTGCAACCAAAAGAAAATTGATAATGAAAAATCATATTTATTAGAAAACTCTAGCCGCTCTCCGTTTTCCTCCCTCCATTTAGAGAAAATAACCTCAGTGACTAAAAATGTCTTATAATATACGATTTTAACCAACTTTTTTTGGATTTGTCAAAATGACCAACTAAATCTCAATGCGATCGATAATTCACAACGCAAACTTCGACTATCGCAACGAATTTGGAAAATCGCAATGCGAACTTCGACTATCGCAACGCGAACTTGGACTATCGCAATGCGATTTACATATTCGCATTGCGATAGTCCAAGTTCGCGTTGCGATAGTCGAAGTTCGCATTGCGATTTTCCAAATTCGTTGCGATAGTCGAAGTTCGCGTTGCGATTTTCCAAATTCGTTGCGATAGTCGAAGTTCACGTTGCGATTTATTCCAAATTCGTTGCGATAGTCGAAGTTCGCATTGTGATTTTCCAAATTCGTTGCGATAGTCGAAGTTCGCGTTGTGATTTATTCCAAATTCGTTGCGATAGTTGAAGTTCGTGTTGCGATTTATTCCAAATTCGTTGCGATAGTCGAAGTTCGCGTTGCGATTTATTCCAAATTCGTTGCGATAGTCCAAAATCGCAACGACTGGTGGTATTGCATTTGTTTCTTAAGAATTTTCTCTAAAAAGATAGTATTCGCGTGAACGTGTCGAAGACACGTATTACCACGACCACGACCACGACCCGAAAAGAGAAGAGAAGAGAAGAGAAGAGAGAGAAGAGACGAGACGGACGGCGGCGGCGGCGCGCGAGAGTCCCCCTTGTTCTCTATCAGTCAACAAGGAAGTGGGAAAGCCAAGCCTTAAATACCATTCCCAATTGTGTTTCCAATACTATGTGGGATTGAGCATTACCAACACTTGTTTCCAATACAATGTGATTATTCAGGAAACAATTAACAATCATGCACCTTAAAACAACTGAATCAGCAACCAATTGCATTAGTATTATACGATTAAATATGTCATAACTAAAAGTCAATCTACAATCAATCGCGATTATTGCATTTTTAAGCAAAACATTCAAAAATAATATCACTATTTAAGGCTCAATCCCACATAGTATTGGGAACAAGTGTTGGTAATGCTCAATCCCACATAGTATTGGAAACACTATTGGGAATGGTATTTAAGGCTTGGCTTTCCCACTTCCTTGTTGAGTGATAGAGAACAAGGGGGACTCTCGCGCGCCGCTGCCGCCTCGTTTCGTCTCGTGTCGGGTCGGGTCGGGTCGGGGTCGTGGTCGTGGTAATACGTGTCTTCGACACGTCCGCTCGAATATTATATTTTTAAAGAAAATTCTTAAGAAACAAATTTGGACTATCGCAACGAATTTGGAATAAATCGCAACGCGAACTTCGACTATCGCAACGAATTTGGAAAATCGCAACGCGAACTTGGACTATCGCAATGCGAATATGTAAATCGCAATGCGATAGTCGAAGTTCGCGTTGCGAATCTGGAAACTAATTTGCGATACCGGAGATCGCATTGCGAATTATCGATCGCATTACGATTTAGTTGGTCATTTTGGCAAATCCAAAAAAAGTTGGTTAAAATCGTATATTATAAGGCATTTTTGGTCACTGAGGTTATTTTCTCTTTTTTCTTTGAGTTTGTGTAAGTTTTTATAGATAAAATTAATTTTTTTCTTTGATTTTTTTAGTCGGCGGGGACACTAGTTTTGATGTTATTTTGTTGATTGTCGGTTATCTTTCCTCTTTGTTATTTCTAATTTTTAATAGAAATAATTTTTCTTTTGTGATACGTTTATCTCTACCTTTGTCGTACGTTTTTCGTTTTTTTTCCTTGATCGTTTGGTCGTTCTTTTATATATTTTTCTCAAGGTTGGATTTGACAACTCCACGACTGATTAAAAAGGCGTTTATTTGAAATCTTGTTGATCTTCCTTGTTATGGTCTTCCTTGTTATGGTCCTTCATATTAAATTTGGATGCGCGATTTTACGTTCGTGTATAGTTACTTATGACGTTCTGCTATGATTTGAGGTTTTCAGTGATCTTTCAATAGCTTAATTTCGTTTTGTAGTTTGTTTACCAAAGTAATCATATTTGTCCGTATCTATTTTTGTTTCAGTCTTTTGATTAAGTTTTTAACCTTTTCCATGTATGTCATCTAAAGTGGCTAGTTTCAATATTATAAAAAAAATATCTGAATTATGTATTTATGTTACGATGTTAGTTGCAATAGAATAATTTTAGATATTTTCACTTTTAAATAATAATATTGACTTCTATTAAAAAAATGTTGATAATATTTAATTAGTATACTTATAAATTTAATATTTTCGAGTTTTTATTTCAATATTGTTTTTCTATTTCTCGTTTTCTTCTTTTCCCCTTATTTTTATAGTACTTTCAAATAAAATACAATAAGAAAAACTATATTAGATGAGACTAAAATTTATTTTTTTCTTCAAATTTTAATTGATGAAAATTAAAAAATTTCAACAATTCCATATAATATTTTAGAATCTTTCAAGCTCTTACTTTGTTTTATAAATAAAGATAAATCCCTATTGATTTTCTTAATATTTTAAGTGTTCTATCTACAATTTAAGTGTGGAAACCTACTATCATAATTTCATTCCATTTTCTTTCTAAAAAGATTTTAGTGGAGAATTTATATAAAAAAAAAGTATAGAAAATTTAATAAATAAAGTTATTATTAAATTTATTTTCGATAACCGACCCTTCCAAAATAAAATGTTAGTTCCGCCTATCTCTATAAATTTAAAAATTGCTTTTCAAGTTTATTGGATGGGAAAGATTGAATTCTACGATATTGATGATTCCATATATTTATTTCTCTTGTAGGTCGGGTGCTCTTCTATTATACTACATAATATGTCTATGTTTCTCTTGGAAACCCTGCTACCAAATAACAAAAAAAAACAAAACTTAACGTATGACCAACAATCGTCTCGAGGAGCATTTCACCGTCAAATCCGTCTATTGGTAACTGTAACTTATGATGCGTAACATGATTTCAAGATTTAGAGATCCCACACTTTGAAAAAAAGTGCTGACCTAAAAAATATTTTCCTACTACACGCATTCGTAAAAATAATTCAGTGAAAAATATTTAGTTCAATATGCTTATTTTTTATTTTATAAAAATAATTAAAATTTAATTTCGTCTTAATATAAAATATTTTAAGATCCTTATTTTATAAAGTAGCACATACCGCTTCATCAAGCATTATCAAATAACTTAATGACTAAAGACCAACCCTCATGGCTCGCCACAAAAGTTCGCCCCACACCAACCAACATATTGCTTGATCCAACGAGAATGAGATATCTAATATACAAAATAAAGATGAATATCAATACTAAAATATATATGTTATTTGTCTGTCGGTCGTATCGAGAAAAAATATGATTATAAAAATAAATGTACAATTTTATGATAAAAGAAATGAATTTATAAATTTTACAACTAAAATAAATTATTAATAAAAATATTTAAAAATTTAAATTATATAAAAATTTAAAAATTTTAAAAGAGATGATTTTGGTATCGACCCTTGTTCGATCTAATCTGTATCTGAAAAGGTGGCATGATCAGTGGTGGAGCATCCAACAGGTGCTAGGAATTGATAATGTGGTTGTCTCGTTCCCTCCAAGTTATGTTTGTATCTTGAACATAAATAATAGACTTAAATATACAAAAGGTGTTCAATATATACATGCTTTTCTAGTTTAGTGTGTAACGTTTTTTTCGTTTCAGTTTGATTCCTAACATTTCATTCCGTTACTCAAAATGGGTCACGCCATGACAGACCGTTAATTTTCTCCGTTAAATGACACGTGTCACAATCTGGTAATTTTAAAATTTTTATTTAAAATTAAAAAATAAAATTATATATTTTTTAAAAAGAAAACAATTTCTTTTTGAAATAACCCCAAAACTTTGAAAACCTTCATTTCAACCCTTAACCTTTAACCCGTCACCGAACCACCCTTCTCCGACAGGTGGTGGTGTACACAGCCGCTCCCATCGAACTCAGCAGCAATCGGCGACCTCAACCTGACCCTCAGATCACCCAAAATCAATCACCGTCGAGATTAATCGCAAGAAAATCATTCGGTCTCCCACCTCCAACCCATTAAAAGTTTCAATTTTTCTTCCGTAAGTTGTAGCCCTAACACTCAGTCAATTGTTGAACCGAAATCTCAAACGAGTAGCATGCCAAATGTTATTAAAATACTTAAGGAAAGAGGATTGCTTGAAACCATAACCAAAGAAAATCTCAGCTTGGTTTTTTCAGACGAAACTGCTGGTCCTCTCAAATTTTACTGTGGTTTTGACCCAACTGCTGAGAGTTTGCATTTGGGGAATCTTTTGGGTCTCATTGTACTTTCTTGGTTCCAAAGATGTGGTCACAAAGTTGTCGCCTTGATTGGTGGAGCTACTGGTAGAATTGGTGACCCTTCTGGTAAAAGCCAAGAAAGACCTGAACTTGATTTGAATACACTGGAAAAAACATTGTTGGAATCATGGAGATTGTAAATAAGATTCTTAGTAAAAATGCAGATCTGGGTTCTAAAAAGAACTCAAACTTTGTTGTTTTGAACAATTATGATTGGTGGAAAGATGTTAGCCTGCTCAATTTCCTTAAACAAGTCGGTCGATATACTCGGGTGGGGAGCCGACCTCCAACCTCGGCCACCGCTCATCGGGAGTCATCACCGCCTAGCCCATTAGAAGCATCGTCCCGGACCGGTAATAGCCCAGTCATCCACTTGCATCCAGTCACCGTCGTTTGTGGTGGAATAGCGTTTGAAAGTCCGACGAAAAGTCCTCATTCTATAATCGATTTTTGTGATTTCCGATCGAAACCGTCGCCTTTCCGCCTCATTGTCACCGAAGATGAGTTGCCGGTCATGTCCGACCAAAACCCAATCGATTTGATAAGCCACCGTCGCCGAGCGGACGAGTTTGGAATAGGGGCGGTCGAACGATTTAGGGGTTAGTGGTTGAAATGAAGGTTTTCAAAGTTTTAGGATTATTTCAAAATTTTTATGTTTTCTTTTTTAAAAAATATATACTTTTATTATTATTATTATTATTTTTAAAAATTACCAGATTGTGACACGTGTCACTTAACGGAGAAAAATAACGGTTTGTCACGGCGTGACCAATTTTGAGTAACAGAATAAAAACATTAAGCATCAAACCGAAACAAAAAAAAAACGTTAGGCACTAAATTAAAAAAACGGATATACATTGAACACCTTTTCGTATATTTAAACCTAAATAATATTGGACTATAGAAACAAAAACAATAATTAACTAGTTTTTTTTTTACTTATAATTCAATAGATTTAAATCAGATAAGATAATTTAATTATATTGACTATATTTTATTTTATTTTATTTTGGAAAGAAATTTTTCTTTAATAATGATTATTAGTTTTCATTAATAAAAACAATAGAAGGAATTAATATACAACGTATTCAAAGAGAAAATTAACGATAATAGTCACTAAATATTAAAACTAAAAATATAAAGAAAAATGAAACCTCCATTGAGAATAACGTCTAACATAATAAAAATCTAACAACCTTCATAAATCTCTTTATCTTTGTCGAATGAGACGTTTTAGGAAGTGATAAAAGAGTTGTGAGCAAACCAAACAATTTGACAAACTGCTTTGCTACATAATTTTAATTATATCAACAAACACCATTTTACTGAAGAGAAAATCTGACAATATTTGATTACCGACAAATTAATCAGAAAAAATATCGTAAGGATCTTTGTGCGAAAACTTATACGACTGTAGAAGAATGCGAAAAACCATAAAAAACATGACACAAAAATAGAGAAAAATATATCACAATAACAAAGGTTCTTATTTGAAATTAAAAAACTAAAAAAAACAAAAAATCATAATAAAAAATAAAAAATAAAAATAATAATTATCAATAGTGGACAATTAATATTAAAATTAATACTATCACCGACTAAATAAAATCAAAAGAAAAGAAGACCGTACAAACATACTGAAATAGAGAAAGAAAAAAACCCTACTAATGATTTTAGAATTATTTTTGGAAAGAGACTTAACTATGATTTCTATAATATAATTAATAATATTTATTTAAAAATAATTGTATTAATGATATTTAAGTATAGTAAAAGATTTGGACCGTTGAAATCCAGCCCGAATGAAGTTAGGAAAAACAAACAATTTCAAATTTTATTAGGTAGGGCCCAGTTTTGTGGGCCTGTGAAGCCTTGTAATTTTATTCTTGGAAGATGGAAACAAAAAGGATCCAGACCATTCCAGCACTAGAATTGAAGCCCACAAGACAAAAGAGGAAAGTTGGGGAAAATATCAGGTTCCTCTTCGGCTTGTTACAAATACCCAATTCCTCAGCATCGGGAAGAAACAATCAGGTTATCTGAAACACTTAGAAATCTATGACTTTAAATTGCTTTCCATCGAACCATAGTGCAAGAGAAATGAAGATGATCCAGAGTTTCTATGGCAACCGAGGGAGCAGCTTCTTCGATCCTTTCAACCACATACCGAGGGGAGTATTTGTGCATCAATCCCAATTATTTATCACCCATTTTCCGGTGATCAAGCTTATGCTGCATACACGGATTAACGCATGCATAGAATATTCGATTTGAAATAACAACTTTGGAAGTTAGGACAATTCGTAGTTAAAACTGCGAAATTTATTCCGATCACGAATACGTTATTTGCATAGAATACTCTCTTATACATACATGCATATAAGATAATATTATAGAGATCACACCCAGAGGGAACAAAACTCTGATCGACAGAGTTAAAGACACTCACATATCAAACATTGTTTTTGCCAGAAATGTCAATAGCCTTAACATCAGGCTTTGTAACTTGCAGTTTTGGAACAGTGACAGTTAGCACACCATTGTCCATGGAAGCCTTGATCTGATCCATCTTAGCATTATCGGGCAACCTGAACCTCCTCATGAACTTCCCACTGCTACGTTCAATGCGATGCCACGTGTCGTTCTTGTCTTCTTTTTCTATTTTCCTCTCTCCGCTTATCTGGAGCACCCTATCGTCTTCAACCTCCACTTTCACTTCTTCCTTCTTGAGGCCAGGGACATCGGCCTTGAACACGTGCGCTTCTGGGGTTTCTTTCCAGTCGATTCGGGTGTTGACAAAAGCGGAGGTTTCTGGGTTTTGCGAAGAGGACATTGGGAAGTCCCTGAAAGGATCCCATATGTCCAGAGAGAATGGATCAAAGACGGTGCTGCGTCGGTTGCCAAAGAAGCTTGGAACCAATGGCAATGACATTTTCGGCAAAGAGAAACTGAGATCAATGGGGAGCTTTGTTTGGTAAAATTTAGAGATCGGCTGTCTTGGTTTTTCTATTGCTTGTCTGAGTACTTGAAGCAGCTGAAATGGGGTTTTTATAGGCCCCGGAGTCTTGAAAAGATTATCTGTTTACTTAGTTTTGGTTGTTTTCTTAAGCATTCTAGTGTTGAGAAGATTGTTCTATTTTAGGTGTCAATCATTTTCTAGGGCATTATAGAGATGCCGGTCTCTAGATTTCTAGGACCTTCCTGAATTTTCACATTCCATATGGGCTTTTTTTACACACAAACAAGTGTAAGACTTGAGCCTCAATACAACTCCAACGGACTCTAGAATTAGGCATTTTTCTTAAATTAGTATTTTGAATTTTAATTATATTATTTAAAAAAAATTGTAAAATTTATTTATTTATAAAACAAACACGTTGATATCTTTATTAACATGTGATAAAATTTTATGTTGTCACGTTATCAAAAAAAAGAATACCATTAGTAAAAATATCAAAATAATTTATAGAACTAAAACATAGGTATCAATTTGGAGCAAAAGAAATTATATATCAATTTTAGAGAAAATGTCTAATTCAGTTATCAACTAAAATTGAAAATTGTTTAAATGCTAATTTAATTTATAGCGTCTAATTGAAGTATCAATATATTTAAACTTAAATAAAATTGCAAATGTTATAATTGATGAAAACAATAGAGAGTTATTAAGAATATTATAACGTGAAAATAAATAAAATTATTAAAATACAAGGAATAAAAATGCTCTTTCTCCTGACTTGTTGTCATTGCAATAAATGTTCTTTCCTGCTTATTGGACAAGGCTACGAAACGTGGGGTGTTTCATTATCACCCTAAATGTTATAGGTTACGGTTTATTAATCTGTACATTGCGAATGAATTGCTTGTTTTTATTAGAGGTGATGATGACTCGATTAAGTGGTAACAACATTCCATCAGAAAGATGTCATTCTGTACCTCGTGCAACAAGGACTGAATCTAATTCTTCCAGAAGCAGAAATCTAGAGGAGAGGTCGAATGAAACACCCGTAAAGCCTAATGCAAATGAGGCTTGGAACGGATCAGACGCTAAAGGAAGCAAGGTTGCATATAAAAACCTCAGAATGCTGTTTCTTTTGGTGTTGATACTTGTGATAAACACGATACTAAAAGCAGAAGCAGGTCCAGCCCTTTGAGAAGATTATTAGACCCGCTTCTAAAACCGAAGGCAGTTAACTGTATCAATTTTACCAACCAATTACAGGACTCTATATTAACAGAAGGTGCCTGTAGATCATCAGAACAGCTTAGACATTCAGCTTTGCACTTGCAGTCAGCCAAAGCGAAATCGGATATGGCGAGCCATTGCACAAGCAAAGTAAATGATTCAGCACAAAACAAATGGTGTAGATCTTCAGCAGTTCAAGCTCTTCTAAGAGTTCAAGTTAAGAATGGGTTGCCTCTGTTCACGTTTGCTGTTGATAACGAGAGTAATATTCTTGCAGCTACTGTGAAGATGTTAAGTGCATCGGGGAAGGGAGATTATGGATGCATTTACACATTCTTTTCCATTCAAGAAGTCAGAAGAAAGAATCAGAGCAAAGGTCAGGATTATGTCCCTAATATTGTTGCCCAGATGAAGATCCAGGCCGAACTATGTGGATCAATTTAGCATCAGAGAATTTGTTCTGCTTACCTTGGATTTAGGACAGGCAAATCCACAAGGTTCTGATTTCCAGTCAAGCAATGAGCAGGCAGCTATCGTTGTCAAGATCCCAAAAAGGAACAGGAGATTTCCAATCAGAGATGGGTACCTCATTGATAAGCGTAACAGCTTGGCTGAGGCTACATTGAAAGAGCATCGACCAGGGGTGAAACTTGAATTTGGTTCTGGGAAAAATGGTCCTCTTATGGATGGTCCAGACATTAGTGCTACAGTCATACTTCCAAGTGGTGTACATAGCCTGCCAAATAAAGGTGAACCTTCATCACTGATCCAGCGATGGAAATCGGCTGGAGCATGTGACTGTGGTGGTTGGGATTTAGGTTGCAAGCTCGGGGTTCTTTCTAATAAGAGCCAATTCAGTCATCGATCTAACTTCGAACTTTTTTTAGGTATAAATGTGGATCTTATACTAATTAAACTATCATAACCACTGTATTATATTTGAAAACGTTGACTGAATTGTCCATGTTCTAATCATAACTGTCGAGACGGTATTTCGCCTGGCGAAAACAAATGTCGTTGCTTTCTAAATGTCATCTCGAAAAAGTAAGTGTTTTTATTCTGGTATAAGATAAAATACAATTTGTAGAGTCGTCACTAATCATTTTATCGAGGTGTGATTGGTCACAAAAAATGCTATGTTATTTTAATAAAATTTATAAAAATAATATTAAAATAACAAAAGGGGTTTGCTTACTAGAAAATGAGTTCGGGAGTCGGTTATGCGTAGGGAAGGATTATCACCCCACAACGCCCAAAGTTGGTATCTTGTTTATTAATTAATGTCTTTACAATAAATTAACAAATTTATATTTAATTTCAATTTATAATCTCATTATTCCATATTTAATCGCATAATTTATTTAAAGAAAATTCTAAAAATAGAAAATATTTCAATATTTCCAATCGAAGAGAAACTATTTCCTAAAATGTTTTAGGACAAATATTTCTCTTTCCGACCGAAATAATAAAAATGTGATAATTCTTTCCAAGAATAAATTAAAATAATTTGATATAACCAGAATAAAATAATATATTTTTTAGGTTTTATAAACAAAAACATTTATTCATTTTAAATATTAAAATATGACATCTAGTTATGTTAAGACAATCCTTTCTTAACATTTAAAAATAAATATTATCATTTAATCAAATTATGAAATTGATCAAGTTATGCTTATGAATTTTTCATATATATATTCATAGGACTAAAATAAAATGAATAGAAAATAAAGTGAAATAAAAGTATTGCGATATATTTGTCACAATAAAAGACTAGAATAAAAAATATAGAAATGTAAATGCTATAATATAAATAATAAAGAATAAAGACATAAAAATTAAATGAATTCTTAAATTAAAATTGCATAAAATAAAAGTATTAATATTAAAAAAATAAAATAATATAAATAAAACAAAAAGGGCACAAAATATTACTATAAATAGGGACGAAAATAAATAGAAATAAAGACCAACGCATTTTGGAAACCACTCTCATGATTATCCCCTAAATTAATGAGTAAAATGATAATAAAATAAAGGAAAGAGATCAAAATAAAAGAAAATAAAAATATAGTAGCTAATTTCGAAATAATTAAAAAAACATAGAAATCAGTGACTAAACTGTAAATAGGCTCCTAAATTAGAGGGATTATTTCGTGATTTTTCATATTTTAAGTGAATAAAGTAATGAACTCCCAAAGTGTATGGATCTGACGCATGGTTTACCCAAAAGTTTTATAAACTTAAAACTCATCTTCTTCCTCTTTATTTCATACGCAGAACACCCTAAAGCTTTCAACTCTTCTCTTTTCTATTTATTTATTTAACTTACTTTTTTTTAAAATAAATAAAAATAAAATATAAAGCTAAAAAAATAAAACCAAATGTAAAAATAACCTTTGTAGTGCTTTTTTCTTTTCAATTTGCTATGTATTTCTCTTAATTTTTCTGTCAATTTTACATATTGTTCTGGGATTTTTATAGCCCCAGTTTACAAAAGAAGAATCAAATATGATTTTTTCTTTCTCTTTGTATGTGTGGCTGTTGTAGAGGACCAGCTGTTGTTGGTGGAAGCTGCTGGAATTTGTTGTGGTGGAGGGGGCTGCTGGGTTACTTGAAACGTGGAGGGGCTACTGGGTTTTTTGAAACGTGGAGGGGCTGCTGGGTATGAAAGGTAAAAAATGGTGATTACAACTGTCATTCTTTGCTCGTTGCTGTGGAACAGGAATGGAGCAAAGACAAAAAGCACCATTTTTAGCTTGAATGGTTCAAACTTTTGATATATAAGTTCTTCTCATTATGAACTCTTTCACTGGGAATGTTGACGTCTCAAGTGAGGTGTCGTTGATTCAACTCCATATACGATGAATCGAGGCAAGGTTGAACAAGTTCTTATTATTATGAACTCCTTCTGGAAATGACGATGCTGATCTATCTCCTTCTGTGATAGGGTCAAGCTAAGGTTGAATAATGTTGATCCCTCGAATGAGGTTATTCTCTAATTCAACTCCATAAGTGACAAATCAAATTAAGGTCGAATAAGTTCTTATTCTTCGGACGAGTTCTTTAGATTACGAACTCTATAAATCAAGAAACCCTCGAAGGCTTAGTTTCTTAGTTGTCAATGAACCTCTTTTATTAGGCCCAACTTCCTTTAACAACCATTTTGAGATAATTAGTAAACCCCTGAAAGATTGGTTTCTAAAATCTCATTTGAAAACATCCTGCCCTGAAGGTCTTATGGATGAACCGAAGGCTTTTTGAAAACATCCTGCACTGAAGGTCTTATGGATGACCCGAAGGCTTTTTGAAAAACATCCTGCACTGAAGGTCTTATGGATGACCCGAAGGCTTTTTGAAAACACCTTGCACTGAAGGTCTTATGGATGACCCGAAGGTTTTATTACTCGGAGGTTTTAATTTTCTAGAACATTAAATGAGAAACTTTGGTAATCATTTTCTCATTTTCATGCGAAAATCATATGTGAACATCTACCCAAAGGCTTTACGGATGGCCCTAAGGACTTATCATCTTGCTCGAAAGACTAACAGATGACCCAAAGGATTTACAAATTTGTGGGAAATACTTTACTAGGTAAGAAACTTCTTACTTTTCAAGAATTTGATTTTCTAGAACATTAAATGAGAAACTTTGAAAATCGCTATCTCATTTTCATGCGAAAATCATATGTGAACATCCTACCCAAAAGCTTTACGGATGGCCTTAAAGACTTATCATCTTGCTCGAAAGACTGACAGATGACCCGAAGGTTTTAAGCATCATGTTCGAAAGACTAACAGATGACCCGAAGGATTTACTAATTTGTGGGAAATACTTTACTGGGTAAGAAACTTCTTACTTTTCAAGAATTTCATTTT